TTGCGATCCGTTGCCGGACACGGAAAAAGACAAAAGACAAAAAAAAGAAAAAAAAAAAAAACCTGGACAGAATGTATGGAGCAGCTATGGACTCTTCAACAGTATACAGTAGCAGGTGGATTGGGGAAGTAGATAAGAATTCAAGTACCACTAAACTAGTAGTGAGTTTCCCATTTTTCTTCTGACATTCCCTGGCCCAGACTTAAGGCATCCTGAAAACCAGAAATGGGTACCAGGATGCAGAGGAAGCTCCAGGAGAAGCTCTATTGATTTGTCCCAAAGAACAGGAAAGGGAACTTCTAATACCTAGAGGGAATGGAAGAGATCCTGCATTTTTCTTTTTCCCCTTGTCTCTGTACTTTTGTACCTGGGTTATCCCATAGTGGTGGCCACAGAAGTTATAGTGGTATTGGTGGGTTTCAACAAGCACCTAAGATATTGAGGGAGGTAAAAGTTCTTTTCTAATACAAGGAGTTGTGGTCCCAAGAGGGCGAGGTGAACCCCTGTAGTTTTTCTCTCTCTCTGTGCTCCTGCTGCCTAGCCCCAAATGTGCCTGGCAGAATGCGGTAGCAAAAGCCCCAGCTTTCTGGCCAGGAGACTAAAAGAGGAGGCTCAGGGAATGAAAAAGTACCAGGAAAACCTCAGAGAGAGAGGAGCTTGGGAAAGATACCACAGAAAGCTGTGTATGAACTTATGGGCTCACCCAGAAGGCTACACATGCATGAATGTAATCCTGAACAGCATAGCAAAGATGCTAAGAACAGAACTAAGGGACAGACCACTGCCCAGATCCCAGACTACCACTAGGTTGTACACACACAGAGCAGATCCAAATAGTACTGCCAAGATTTTTAAAACAGAGCTGTCATTGAAACCACAGTCCAAAGAAGGCTGGTCAAAATATGCAGTCTGAACTCAACTGCAATAATTGCCTGCTGAAAGAAAAATATCAACAGTCTTCATAGGATTTACACAAGTCCTAGAGTCTTTTAACATAACATTCAAAATGTCCAGGATATAATACAAAACTACATTGTATATAAAGAACAAGAAAAATCTTAACTCACATTGAAAAAGATAATCTAACACCAAAATGACACTGATATTTCAGAAAGACTTTAAAGCAGCTATTATAAAAATACTTCTGTTTGTTTTAAACAAACTGAAAGACAGAAAGACTCAGCAAAGATAACTGTGGTAATCACTTTATTATGTATATGTATATCAAGATGAGCACATCAAACATCTTGCTGTACACCTTAAATACACAGTTTTTTAAAAAAGGAGAAAAAAAAAGGTCTCAGCAAAGAAATAGAAGACATAAAAAAGAAAGTATTAGAATTGAAAAATACAGTGACCAAAATTTAAAACTTATTGAATGGGTTCAGTAGCAAAATGAAGATAACAGAATAAGTCAATAAACTTGCATGTAGATCAGCAGAAATTATCTACTCTGAACAAGAGAAAAAAAGATTGTGAAAAATGAGCAAAGCCTCAGGGACATGTGGGACAATAGCAAAAGGTCTAATATTTGCATAATCAGAATCTCTGAAAAAGAAAAGAAAGAGTTCAGTGCAGAAAAAAAAAATTACTTCAGGGAAATAATAGTGGTAAAAGCTTCCCAAGTTTAGTGAAAGATATAAAATCTATATATTCGAGAAGCTCAGAAAACCCCTGCCAGAATAAATCCAAAGCATTAATCATCACAATGAAAATGCTGAAAATTAAAAACAAAATAAAAAGTTTGAACAAATCACAGAAAAGTGATTTGAATGACTGTGGATTTCTCATCAGAACCATGAAGGTCAGAAAGAAGTGACTCAACATTTACGTGCTAAAAGAAAAGAGCTGTCACCTCTAAATTCTATATCAAAACCTCAATAGTACTTTTTGTAGATATAGACAAGATGATTCTAAAATTTATACAGAAAGGCAAAAGAACTAAATTAGCCAAAACAGTGTTGAAAAAAGAATAAAGTTAGAGGAATCACGCTACCCGATTTCAAGATTTACTCTAAAGCTATAGTAATTAAAATGTGTGCTACTGGAATAAAATTAAACAGACCAATGAAACAAAACAGGAAGTCTAGAAATAGACCCACAAAAATATTCCTAATTGATTTTTGACAAAAGTACAAAGGCAATGCAGTGGCGAAAAGATAGCTTTTTCAACAGATGGTGTTGGAATAACTGGACATCCATATGCAAAAAAAAACCCAACCTTAACCTAAACTTCACAATTTACACAAAATTAACTCAAAATATCAAGATCTAAATGTAAAATGCAAACCTTTAAAACATATAGGAGATAAAACAGGAGAAAATCCTTGTGACTTGGGGTTAGACAAAGAGTTCTTAGGACACCAAAAGCACAATTCACAAAACAAATTGATAAATTGAAATTTATCAAAGTTAAAAACATTTCCTCTGCACCTCAGGGCCTGCCCTGGGATCCAGGGTATGGAGAAGGGGACCAGACCCCCTCCCACACCAGACACCCCATGCCAGTGCATCAGGGCCTTCCCTGGGACCCAGGGCATGGAGAAGAGGACAAGACCCCCCTCCCACAACCAGGCACACTGTGCCAGCTCCTCAGGGCCCGCCCAAGGGCCTGAGGCATGGAGAAGGGAACCAAACCTCCCTCCCACAACCAGGCACACCTCGCCAGTGCCTTGGATCCCACCTGGGGACCCAGGGTATGGAGCCAGGGACTGGAGCGCCCCCCACAACCAGGCACACTGTGCCAGCACCTCGGGGTCCATGCTGGAACCCGGGGTATGGAGAAGGTGACTGGACCCCCCTTCCACAACCAGGCACACCATGCCAGCACCTTGGGGCCTGCCCTGGGACCCGGGGCAAGGAAAAGGGGACTGGATCCCTCTCCTACCACCAGGCACACCGCACCAGCGCCTCGGGGCATGCCTAGGGACCCATGGCAAG